AATAGTTATGGTGCTGTTGCACAAAGACATCATACATGTCATGCAAACTAGAAACATTTAAAATAATAACATAGGTTAGTCGAAGGTTAAAATAGAGAAAACACACAGTAAAACATTAACATTAAAGCTCAGTATTACGTAATTGAGTTTTGAATGATGAAAATGGAATATTGAACAGCCTGAGATCATTGTGCAAGTTAGCTAATCTAAGCATTCTTGGAATGCAGCTGTTAAAAGCCTGGTTTGATCTATAAAAAGGTACATAAAATGTTTGCAGTTGCCTAGTTAAACGAGTTTGAACAAGAAGATTTATTTTTTCAAGAAGTTCAGGGCAATTACTTCTACTATTTATAATATTAAATAACAAACTAAGGTCTCTTTGTTTTCGCCTAGTTTCCAAGGAGGGGATGTTCAGAAACTGTTGCATGAAATCATATTGACAATAAACACCCAATTTAAAAGCTATATGTCTGAGAAAGTTGTGCTGAACACTTTCTATTTTCCTACTATATGTTATATTGTGTGGAGACCAAACATAAGAGCAGTAGTCAAGATGAGGTCTGACTAACGAACAATAAAGAACTCTAATTGCAGTTGTGTCAGTAAAATCACGGGTCAGCCTTTTGATAAAACCCAACATTTTCATAGATTTGTTGACAGTAGCAAATATGTGTTGATTGAAGCTTAAAATAGGATCGAGAATAATTCCAAGGTCTTTAATTTGATAAACAGAGTCTAAGATATGACCATTTAAGTTATAGTTAAATGTAGTTGAAGGTAGGTGGGAACGATAAAAACGCATGATATGGCATTTATTAGCATTCAAGTCCATGCCATTTAAAGAACACCATTCTGATAAGTTATCGAGGTCAGACTGAATTCTACGGGCATCATCATGGGTTTTAACCATTTGGAAAATGTTTAAGTCATCTGCAAATAATAAAGCTTTGCTATTGCGGAAACAATAAACATGTAAAATTGATATAATTCCGCCAGCGAGTATACTCCTTGGCCTTTTTGAGTCTCTGACGAACCCTGGTATGAGCGATAGGGGTTCCAAGGGGCCCCAAATTTAAATTTTCGTAAAATTCCATTTTCTCATACAAAGTTGGTATGATGAGAGTTTGTAAGAGTGTAATTTTATGTTGCCCTGGCTTGCAAGCAGGCGGCTCCAGAGCTTCACGAACGAGGGTGCTGATGGGGTGAAACTGTCAAGTTTCCCCTGGGACTCGATTTGATTCGATTTCATTACATAAAATTCATATAATTGCGCTGACCAGGCAGCTAACCAATGGTTTATTCGAGTGGCATTTAATCTTAGCCAATACAACGACATGCCAATACTTATGATATTGATTTGAATGAATTTCGATATTTATGTTTTTATGAAATCGTGGCGAAAGAAAACGTGGCAAAAAAAACTGAAGTCCTACTTTGTAGTTTATCACCGACTTCAGATGCAGCATTAGAACATCTTAAAAGAGTGTATTTTTAAGTTCAGTGTTGGATGGGAAATGAACTGCAGCCAACAGATTGGGGATGGGAAGAAAAAGAAAATGATTCTTTAGAACCCATTTGGATTCTTGGACTCCCAGCTCCAGATAAGTTATTGCGGACAATTTTTTGTTCCTGTAAGAAGGCTTGTAGTAAGAAATGTTCAGATATGAAGTGCACGATGGCTTGTAAAAATTGTTTGGAGAAAGAGTGTGATAATTTAAAATTGACGGCAACTGAAATTCAGCCTGTCGACAACCTTGATTCAATATTGGATTTAAACCTCTTAATAGAAAGAGACAAACCTTATATGGACAATTTATTGGGGACGATTTTCAAGGTCACTGAAACAGATGATTTGTTGAAAGAAGCTGAACAAGAAGATGGAAGAACACAACACGATGGAATATGAATTTGTTGTAGAAAAAAGAAAAAAATTATATTATTCTGTAAGAATTGTTTTGTTGAAATGTCAAATTTTTCTATCACACCAGGCTACATTAAATATTCATGAAAAAATCTCATTCCATTTCACGTTGTTTCTTTTTCAATTCCATATCCACCGCAACCGTTTTACCAGCCTCAAAAGGTTAGCTCCCGGCCAGGTGAGTTATATCAATTTTATGTAATGAAATCAAATCGAATCGTCCCAGGTGAACATGATAGTTTCAGCCCCTCAGGACGCTTGTTCGTGCAGCCCTGGGGCTACATGCTTGCAACATAAAATTACACCCTTAAAAACCCTTATTAGGCCGTCATCAACTTTATATGAGAAAATTGAATTTTACGAGAATTTAAATTTGGGCCCCCCTATCAGCCATATCTAGATTCGTCAGAGACTCAAAGAGACCAAGGAGACTCAAAGAGACCAAGGAGACTCAAAGAGACCAAGAAGTATACTCGGTGGAGAAATTATATCAATTTTACATTTTGATATCAAATAAAATCAAATCTCATATTTTGGGCCCAGCACCCTGTTCGGACACCCCTGGTTGGGTCACAGGATGACAGGCTGCCCAAATTTAGATTTGTTTGTTTTATAACACTAGCGCGTACCAATTCTGTGTCCTGAAATTCAATCCCACGCGATCATGATATTTGAGACCCCATGGGCCCCTTTTTATACGACCCTGAGGGCTTGAAAAGGCTTAATTCTCGATGATATTGAGATCTCCGCCCTTCTAAACTCCCCTTGCGCAATTTGGGAGCCCAAATACATTTCCACGGACATCTAGTATATTGGACCCCCAGTGGCCCTGTCACCCACCCCTGGGAAGGTCGCAAAGGCGACCTGACCCAAATAATGGATTCAGGGTACTTTAAAACACCCGAGTGGAACATTTACCCCGCTTGGGATTGCAGTTTTATGAAGTATGCGCCTTTTGTTGAAAAAAGCCGAGAATTCCCCACAATTGGGGTGAATTTGGGGGGAGGGAGGCCGAGCGGCATCTAGATTTTAGTGAACTTTGAATCTTATGTCTCAATGAACATTTTGCAAAAAAAAATAGCCAGATTGGACCTTTCCGACCAAAGTTCGAAGTGAAAACCTACTTTGACGCGACTAATAACCTATTCTACCAAATTCTCGAACAGAGACGAATATGCGAACATTTTGGATATGATTAAAAACCAGACCCTCTTCACATTTTTTTTATCTCGCCCTCTAAAAAATGTTTGCCGTTGTGAATCGCCAACGATAATTATGCATTACCTGGCACGGAATATCTGGTAACCCGGTGAAAGTCAGCAGATAACAGAAGGGACTAAAAAAGGTCCAAAATGATCGAGTTAATGAATGTCACATCAGCACTACATACGAAAAGGATTAAAAGGTTTGAAATATTCATGAACCGAGTGTACTGAAATGTGTAAACACATCTACGTGTTTGAAAAGGAGATTAATTTGGTATATAAATATTGTGATGTAATAAAAAATTTAAATAACGAGAGACTATTAAAGAAATAAAGTTTATAACAAAACTGCAGTGAATCTATTATTTATTTAGATTGTAATAAAGATTTAATTTAATCAGTTATAGTAAAGCTATAGAGAAACTAAAACGGAGTAACCGTATTATTTTGCAAATAATTTCTTGTGTAACATTTATTTCAAAATCGTCCTGTTCCCAATTGTAACCCTGTATTTTTATATTAATACTTGTCAGTCGCATAGGAAATTCACATTCTGGATTACTGTGATAACAAAATGTTACCAAATAACGTTTTAAAGCAGTTAACAAAAAATTATAAATAGAGAAAACGTTGTTGTTGGTTTACCAGTAAGTAAACTCGGTTAATATGTAATGAAAATGGGACCAGAGCTTTTAACGAAAAACAGACATGTCTAGTACCTACACGTTAATGCATGTAAAAATAAATGTCTCAACTTTGCTGGAACATACGCTTTTCAGGATCCAGTGCATATCCATTTCAGTTTTGCGGTTTTGTGCGCTATTCGTTAATAAATTATATGGATTCCATTTCCATATATACGGCCTTAATTTTGAAATGTTATATGAATGTAAAACCGCTGACGAAATTTAAAAGGGGTTTGGTATAGAAAAAAAAAACAACAAAACTAATTATCTTTTTTGGAGCTCTCGTTACGTACATATGGCAGAAATATTACATAGAGCAGTGACGGGTAAATATATTTATAAATATTTTTACTATAAATAAAATTAGTTAAAAAAATTCATGATTCCCATAATTTTTATTCAAACTAAATGTTTATCTGTTTCGATACAAAGGCTATCATATTTAAAAAAGTTAATGTCCTCCAACAACCTGTAATTTTTAATTTAAATTAGCTAATATAAACACAAAACAATATTTATGCAATTGTATAACGATAATGAAAGTGCCCAACACCTCGTGTATAATCCCGTTTTCGATAACTGCACTAAACATAGTGACATTAAATATCACTATGTTAGAGAAGTTGTCGAAAATAGTGTTGTAAAAATAAAATATTTATCTACTGAAAAGATGATTGCAGAGGTGTTTACTAAGGGGTTACCTAATTCAAAATTTAATATTTGTATTCAAGGGTTAGGTTTGTCTTAGTCATGTAGTCACTAGATTAAGAGGAAGTGTATTAATATAATCTAAAATACAAATACCACTAAATAATATTAAAATATTAGATTTTTTAAAAAACTAATGTAGAATATTTTATATCATCTCACTTTTTCATTCCGTGACATCACTCCATCCTTAGCAAAGGGGATGAGGCCACCGTAGTGTCTACGATCCATGTTCCTACAGTTTGCAATTCTTTAGTGTCCTCTTATTTGTTTTGTTACCTAATATGTGATTAAACAACTATTAACATTACAAAAAAAACTTGTATGAACCCCCTTAGAAAGTAATATAACAGACGCTACTGGTAAAACATCCTGGCGATAATGTGAATGTAATAAAATCCCATTTTATAAATCCCTTTTTTTTATTTTCAGAGATCCTGAATACGAAAATTAGCTCGTCCAGTCGTCGGCGAAACCGCCATGTTTCTTCTTTTGTTTTGGGCCGCTACGCTCGGCCTGACCTCTGGTGAGTACCTATCTAACTTCTTTTTGCAAGTTTAATTTTTATATCATAGTCTAAGGGCAAGCAAATTTTCTTCATGTTTTATACACCTTTTAACTAGATATAAATTAAAAAATATATATTGGGTGAATGTTTATGACTTTTAAAAGGTAGACAATGGAACAAATCTGATTATACTCGGTTGGATAACCATAATATAACAAAAACAAAAATTCTTCGGCACTGATAGTATACCTTTTTACTTAATTAAGGTATGTAAAGACTTGATATGTCTGTTAATATTCATATTGAAAACATCAATATTTCCCGAATGTATTAAGGAAGCTAATTCTTTAAAAATGTCGAAAAATTAAAAAAGTGGACCAAGAGCAGTGTCCTGAGGTACACCGAAAGTAAATAAACGTGTTTATGATAGACGAGAATTAACGATTCTTAACAGAGTTAGAAATTTAAGGTAGTTCACTCTCGACACTCGTACACAAAAATATCGCCTAATGGTGAATACCAAAAGTTAGATATTCTCAATGCTAAAAAATGTTATTTTTATAAGAGACTGTACACCACACATGTAAGTTTATATACACGAACACATTATTTCAAGTAAAATCCATCAGGCAAAGTCGCAAATATGTGAATGGTGAGCTATCAAATGAGTGTGTATACCTATCGAAATTTGTGACTTACTCATACTAATTTTAAGGGTTTGTTTTGGTTCAAACAGAACCTCTGACGGAGAGTGCAAAATAGGCTTAAGATTTTGTTGAATGTAATGGAGGAGATAAAAAAGAAAAGAAACAATATCAACAACCAGATACAACACAAATTAAAAGGATTCAGGACCTTAGACAATAATACGGAAGAAGAATTTCAAATAAGATTAGGCCAAATGAACCAGTTATTGCAACAATTCCTTTCAATACAAGAAAGTATGGAGCTATTGATCACTAAAGAGAAAGACAAAGAACTGGAATATCGAATTAGACTGGAGATAGAAAATTTATTTATGACAGTAAAATTAGATTTACAGGAGAAGGTTACACCTAAACCTCAACAAATAACAGAGACAGCTTCAACAAGTTTCTCAGCTGAATTACTACCGGTACAGACAAAGGTTAATTTTACACCTTATCAAATGGACAAATCTTTTAAAAAAAATTTGAACAGACTTGAAGTATACACAGATCTGCAAGGATATGATAAAAATGAAAAAACTAAAAAGTACATATTTTTAAATGTTATATCATCAAATTTTATGTGCACCAGGAGATCCATTAAAAGAAAATTTTTAAGATTTAGTTAAAATATTGGAAGATTATCTGGATCCAAAATCAAGTTTGTGGAAGAAGTGCAATTTTTCCTGGATGACATAATAATTCAAGGTCCTTTTGAAGAAAACAGCAAAATATAATTGGTCGAATGAACGAGAAAGAAGTTTTAACAGAATCAAAGCAGAAATAGCAAGCGATAATACATTAACACATTATTGTCCACATTTGCCACTGATTATTGCAAGTGATGCGTCACCAGTTGAACTGGGATCTGTACTTTCACATAAATTTTCGGATGGTACCGAGAAACCAATATGTTTTGCTTTAAGAACATTAACTAAGAGTGAACAGAAATACAGCCAAATAGACAAAGAGACACCGGGAATATATTGGGCACTAAAAAAGTTCTATCCATACTGTTACGGTCGAAAATTCACACTAGTAATTGACCATAAACCATAATTATTTATCAATTTTTAAACCGAATAAGAATTTACCTACAATGACAGCAACAAGACTATTTAATTACGCACTCTTATCTAATTTTGATTACGATATACAATTTTGCCATTCAACAGACCATGTCAATGCAGATTTTTTGTCCAGATTTCCAGTTAAAGAAAGTATCATCAGATCAGTACGAAATTTTTCAGTTAAAAACCAGATTGAAACTTTACCAATTACAATTAAGGATGCTCATTTAAAATATTTACTACCTAAACTACAAACTGGGGAGAGTTTAAAAGAACTAGGCTATGAATACAATGAATTGACGCTGCAAGATGGGTGTATTTTTCGTGGAGCTAAAGTAATGATACCTAAAACATTGCGATGTGAATTATTAAAGAAACTTCATATTGGACATATTGGCATGACTAAAATGAAAGCACTCGCCAGAAGCTATTGCTATTGGCGAAATGTGGACAAAGACATAGAAAATCTGGTAAGTTCATGTAAGCAATGTTGTGAAAAAAGAAATGAACCACCTAAAACTAAACTTCATTCATGGGAATTGTCTCAGGAACCATGACAACGTTTGCACATTGATTTCGCAGGATCTATTCAAGGACCATCATTCTTTTTTGTAGTGGATACAAATACAAGATGGATTGAAGCAATTCTGACAAAAATAACAACTACATATCGGTGCATAAAACAACTTAGACAGTTATTTACAACATTTCATTTACACATTACACTGGTATCTGACAATGGACTACAATTTACTTCGAATATGTTTAATTTTTTTTTTTAAACCAATGAAATACAGCATAAAACGTCGGCTCCTTACCACCCAGCGACAAATGGACAAGTTGAAAGATTTGTTCAGACAATCAAACGGGCACTACAGGCTTCAGAAAATTAAAAATTGGACATAGAAGTGAATATATGCACAACTCCGAAAAGTAAAGAATGCTTCAGGGGAAAGTGCTTATAACTTGATGTTTGTTACAAATATTTAAACCAGATTAGATCTATTAACCAATATAAAAGATCAGTACAGCCCAAAAGACAAAAAATAAAAAAAGAACATTTAAGGAGGGGAAGCGAGTACAAGTCCGCGAATATGAAGGAAAATCTAAATGGGTTTTTGGAGCTGTACTAAAGAAACTAGGAGAACTATGTTATGAAGTCTTATTAGATAATAGTAGACAATGCCGATGACATTTAGATCAAATGATAGGCACTAAAGTAGAAAATTAAGGGGGAGGACGGACGGAAAGTGCAAAATAGGCTTAATGTTCTGTTGAATGTGATGTTTAGTTAACAGTAGATGGATACTTGTCAAAAGATATTTATTTAAAAATAATGACGTCATATTATTATTAATAAATATAAGAAACCATCGATTCCAGTTTTTAAATACAGTGGACAAATTAATTTTTCAAGAACACCTCGCGAGGTTATAACAACCTTTTAGCTGATCGGGTGTAATTCGGTAATTCTGTTTCCTAAAGAACCAAAACAAGCCTAAAATAATCTAATAGACATTTGAGTTACCGCGCGTTAAGTGTAGCGATTACAATGTTATTAAGTTGTAATCATTGTACCCCACTACGGGTGAACGGCTTTAAAAATATTTTTATTTTAAAATTCTATATCTTTTTACCAAAACGGTCAAAGATTAACAGCCGTATGCATAGTCGATCGCCAGCGACTTGCCAGCGATTCGCTGGCGATCCGCCGGCGAAAGCCCAAAAAGCTGGCGACTCGCCGGAGATTGTCACCGGAATGTCATTTCACGCAAGTTTTCATGTTCTTTTATAGGGAAAAATTTGATATTCGTTCATTATTTTTTGAGTTTTAAGAAATGAATCATGAATAAAATGCGAGAGATACCGGTGATAATCCCTATAAAAGAAAATAAAAACTTGCGTGAAATGACATTCCGGTGACAATCTCCGGCGAGACGCCACCTTTTTGGGATTTCGCCGGCGGATCGCCAGCGAATCGCTGGCGAAACGCCGGAATGAATCTCTGGCGAGTTGCTGGCGATCGACTAAGCATACGGCTGTCAGAGTTTTTTTAGAAAATTTTATAACTTCTTGATTTACACTACATTAGTTTTTAAAAAATATAGTAAGAACCGTTTTAGGGATATCTTGAAAAAAATGCATCTCTTGTGTACATGACAGGCTGTAAGAGTTAATTATGCACATTTTGTTGTTAATATCTCCTTTCACAGACTGTCAAAAAATTTAATTAGTTACGTAAAAGACACTTTCTTTAACTTTATATTTCAATTTTATTGAATTCCTAAGAACAGCCGTTTTACGAATGAACGACCTTAAGCACTCACCAGATATTCCTCTAAAACCATAGTTACCAAGAAATAAGTAAAGCACGAACTACTAGATCAAAAGCTTTACTTCAATCTATAAAGAGACTTACATTTTTTTAATTAAATTGTTATAAAGGTAATTTCTGTAGATCGACCTTCCTTGAACCCATGTTGACTATCATGAAGTCTATCATTTTTCTAAACATATTTTTTTTATATTTTTGAAACATTGGATAAAATAGATGTAGGCCTATAGTTATCCATAACTGATGCATTACTTTTGTTTAAGTCAAGTTATATTATTGGTTCTCTTAAAAAACACCTTCTTGACAAGATCTGACAATTAAAAACGTTTGTGATTTAAGATTATAATACATTGGAACTAATTTGATTAATTCCAAAAGAACTAGATTAATTTTTTCATCAAGCTTTTGTCTAGTTATGTACTGACAAGAAAACAATTCGTAACATTTCTTGATACATTTTTGTAAATTTTTGATATAACCAGGAGTTACACAGGGACCAACCTGAGCCGTCTGCTTTTTTATTTTTTGTAAACGATTTTTCGGATGATATGTTTATTATTCCAAAAAGTTGATAATCAAAAGGATCATGATCAATTACAAGATCTTGAAAAATTATATAATTGGGCATTAAAAAACAAACTCGGCCTTAAAGTTAAAATAGTAGTTATCGCAACAAGTGCTAAAAGTGCTTCTAGCACGTGTTATGATCAACATTTTTTCTACAAGCGCATTTATTTCTAAAATAGAGAATTAACCTGTATAATGACATTAGGTACAACATACAGTTTAAGTATACATATGTTAAACCGATGTTATGTGCTAAATTGGTGTAGTGGTTAGGGTTTCGGGCTCATAACGCAAAGATCTTAGGTTCAAACCCAGATAAACTTCTCGCACTCGAAAGAGTGCGAGAAGATCACCTTCTCG